GAACTTAAAGGGACCCACAAGGATCACTGAATCTGGCTTCTTGGATCAGACCCATAGTCTAGACCAGCTGAGCTGATCTCAGGGTTTAAATGTGGAGGGGGTTGTGGGGTCACTGAATGACTGAATTAATAAAATGTCACTGATGTGTGACTGACATAAAAGCTCTAAGAGGTGTAAAGCAGTGAAACATGATACTGCCTTGAGTGTAACTTTAGAGGAGCTATGCTAGTTACAGTAAGCAGAAAATGGAGCAAGGAACAGTGAATCAGGTACCTGTCAAACTTACCTGAGGTAAGAGACAATTTGAGCATCATTCTCTCCTCCCAGGCTGAGATCTGGTGTTAGCTGTTTTGCTGCTGCTCAAAAGCAGGACCACAGAAAGGAAAACAGTGCTTCTGCTCAGAACTTCCATGAACTACTATCAGAATATTAAGTGTAAACCGGTATCAAGTGTTAGACCATTCTTTCTGTGCTGGGAGACAATCGTAGGACTGAAATAGAAGCTGGTACTCTATAGGAATGGGAAGAGTTAAGAATTATACTCAGCATTTCAGGGGTTTCTTGTACCAATTTACCTTGCACAGAATATGAGAGCTTAAATTACCCAATCATAATGCAGAGCTATTCATAAGCAACTAGAAAAATACAGAGCACAATAAAAGAAGGGTGTTTCACTGTTGTTACTAATGTTGCTTTTAAGCTCATTCTTGGAGTCTGTTCTCTAAAATGATGCAGTAAAGCAACCCACAGGAATTGATTTCTGTGAGGTTTTCTTGGGTCTGGTGAGCAACTGGTAATGCTCAAGTTCATACAAAGCCTTTTTTCTGTTCTTACAGGTACAAACTGAAGACAGTGTCCTCTTGTTTGTAGTGGCCTGGACAATCACCGAGATAATCCGTTACTCTTTTTACACATTTAGCTTGTTAAACCATCTCCCTTATCTCATCAAATGGGCCAGGTCAGTAGCATAATAAAAACTACAGCCTTAAAGCACTGATCTGACAGGGATATTTATCTTGTGAAGTAGTTGCAGTACAAAAAATTAGATTTTGCCTTCAGGTAATTGCCCTGGTCGTGAACATGACTGCTTAGCTTCTTTCCAGCAGATTTTCAGGTTACAAAAATCTATTGCACTGCAAGTTGAAAGGGTAGTTTGTATGAACTCAGTTCCATTTACAAAATAATTGTTTGTCATAAACTGATACTAAAGGTAGGGGATGACAGTAGGTAAACTGGCATTTAGCAGTAATTCTTGAATCCAGTGGTTGTCGTTGAAATAATATTTAAGCTCATTGATTAACATCAACTATATTTGGCCCTGTTTTAAGTAGTAAAATTACCTCTACCAAAGAGTTCAGAAATTAAAATAATGAAGTATGTGTCTGTGGAGAGAATAGTTTTAAAGATAGAATCTTTAAATATTTCCAAACAAATGCTGATTTGAATACTTACCTTGCAATAATGTTTTTACCATGCCATGCTCTAATCAAATAAGATGTAAGAAAATTTAATACTGAGTGGAGAATTAAAAATTTGAATATCTGTAAAATCATTTAACAAATCTTTTGTCAGAGTTTGTAATAACTTTTAATTCTTTCTATGTTTGTTTCATTCTAGGTACACTTTGTTTATAGTATTGTATCCAATGGGAGTCTCAGGTGAATTACTCACAATATATGCTGCATTACCCTACGTCAGGCAGTCTGGCTTGTATTCCATTAGTTTACCTAACAAGTACAATTTTTCATTTGACTACTATACATTCCTGATCCTGGTCATGATCTCTTACATTCCAAGTAAGTATGAGTTTGTTAGGTTTCTTACTATTAGCAGCTGTACTGGGTAAAGCAAACAATTGTGGGAGTTACATACATAGAAGTAACCAATGTAGCCTGCTGACGACCTTGTTTAATTTTTGTGTGGCTCACAAACGTTGAGTATCTCATGGAAATTTCAGCTTTTGCTGTTTGTGTATGTGTGTTTTCCATCCCCTGCTTTCTTGTTCTGCAAACATACTATGTACCATAGCCTTAGAAATAAGAGAGAAAGCTCTGGATAGAGAGAGATGGAAGAGACATTGATGTGTATAAAATGCCTTAGGGTCTGAAAAGTGACACTAGAATTCCAAAAAAATCAAACAAATCTGGACATTTCTCTTGAAGGACTTTTTCTGCCCTGCAGTCTGTTTTCTTTGCATTGTGTGCATGCAGTTAAGGCAACTTTTGTCACCTGCTTCTACATTTAAATAAGGCATTTTGCATTTAATTAAAAATGTGATTGCTTTAGCAAAAAAATTAATAGTACCTGAAGCTTAAGAACAGTATCAGTTCATCTCTTTAGAGGGTAAAAGGCAATGGATAACTTGGGCAAAAAGTGGATAAGCACATCCTCTAATAGAGAATGTGACTATAATATCTAATAGAGAATAGTGACTGTGCATCTTGCAGGCCTCTCTTCACACCTTACTGACTTGAGTCTGTTTTCTCCTCAGTCTTCCCTCAGCTCTATTTCCATATGCTGCATCAGAGGCGAAAGGTACTCTCCCACACTGAAGAGCATAAGAAGTCGGAGTAATTCCAACTCCTTTTCAGAACTTTTCAAACATCAAAATGCTGCAGTTTTTCAATACCCAGCACATTTGTAAAGAGTATACCAAGATAAGTCAGAGGTAAAAGACCAATAATTTAGCAAGAATAACCAATAAATCTGATTTCAGTGAAATTCCAGGATGTCAAATATTGAAATAATTTTCAGCTTGCAGTGCTTCAGAAAACTTAAACTTTATATGGCTTGGCAGTTAACCTTTTCCTTAAATGATGTGCTAAATGGTTTTCATTTATTACTAAATGCCTGAAGGTTGCAGTATGAGTGATGAAGTTGTACCCACTAAATGCCTGAATTGGGATTATATTACTGATACCTCTTTTTTTTAAGTGCTTGACTGCATGCCAGAAACTGTATGTATTGCTGTGAAAGCAAACAATATGCTCTGGAATACTTCAGGATAATGTCAGAGACTTCAGTGGAGAATGTAATCTGGGAAAAGTGTTGAATTTAGAAAGGTAGGTTGTGTATTTAAAAGGTGATGGGAACAAGAACAAGAAACCAATTACGGAAAATGAGGGGAATTGTGGTTCTTTAGGAATTTAAACAGTACAGTGTCTGACCAGAGTGTGTTCTCTGAAGATCTTGTTCAAGCTCATCACTCAAATGCTAAGATTAATTCAGAGGCTGTAATTCTTACCTGAAACATTAAAACTACCCCAAGTACTGCATCCCTGAATACTTTTTTACATATTAAAATAATTAAATTAATACTAACTGTAATACTTCTAGTGGTATCAGTAATGAATCTAAACAATATAAAGGAGTAGGTCATCTCTAAGCAGGTGCACTTCTCCCTTTTTTATTATAAATTATCATCTCTAATCATTGTCTGTGATACTCATCTTTCAGTGCTGAGGACTACTTGCTGTATTTGGGGGCCTTGTTCCTTAGCCTGACTTTTCTCAAGTGACTGAGGTCATCATTCTGGCACATCCAAGCAGGCAGTTCCAGGCACTTGACTTCTGAAGTGTTGCAAAGTCAGAATCTGCTCCTTGCAGAGCAGATTGTCTCATGTGTTACATGCTGCCTTTGCAAACTGGACAAACCACCCTCATCTGTTCCTTGGAAAGAGTGGAAGACCACAAAAAGTTATATTCTCCTAGGTGCTTTCTCTGGGTTCTCAGGTTTAACCATCCCTTGGGAAGGTAAAAGGAAAATGAAAGAGCTGAGAAAGCCTGGTGGGGTAGGAAGCACTACTGCTGTGTGAGCCGTGCCCCAAGTCTAGAAGAAACTTCTGATTGGGAGTAAAAGGGTGGGGAATGAAAGGAACAAAAGGAGAAGGAAAATGAGTAGATGTCCAAGCAGAGACAAAAGGAAATGTAGGTTATGGCTTTGCTCTGTTAGGAATTGATGGCCATGCAGTCAGCCACTAGACCATGTGGGCTTCTCTGGCTTCCCTCATGTTCCATGATTTAGTGTCTAAATGAGGTGTGACTGCTCCCATGCTACCTGCAATGCTGCCTCCTGCTGTGCCTGCCAGCACCTCCCCTGGACACGGCCCAGCTCTGTTTGACACATCCCAGCTCTCCCTAAACACAGCCGGGAAGTACTCAGGACACAGGCTCTCTGTTCTAGCAGCTGGGAAGAGCTGGATTTACAATTTTTTTGGTTTATGCTTGTCAGAGCTATATTTTAAAAAAAACAACTTGGCATTTTTCAGTAATTTTCTTTGGCTCCATCAAAACTACTGAATTTTCCTAACTCTCACTATATAGAGTCTTTCCTGTTCAACACAAACAGGACTATTATAAGCAGAGAGAGGACAAGAGGCAGTAATAATCTTTGATTCTATTTTCAACATTTTGAAGCCAGTTATTGACTGGATTAAAAAATACAGGACGTTGTAGCAATCTGGGTGTTGGTCTTTTCTCCAAAAGTTCTGTTATCCAAAGTTACAAGCAATAGGACTAGAGGATATTGCCTCATGTTGCACCAAGGAATGTGTAGATGGGATATTGGGAAAAGTTTCTTCATGGAAAGGATTGTCAAGCATTGGAACAAGCTGCCCTAGGGAGTGATGGGAGTCACCATCCCTGAAGGTATTTAAAAGAACTGAAGATGTGGTGCTTAGGGACATAGTTTACTGGGATTTTGCTGTTTGGGGGTGATGGTTGGACTCAGTCTTAGAGGTCTTTTCCAGCCCAACTAATTCTGTGATTCTATTACTGTGACCATATACAACCTCAAAATGGTTTTGGATTTGAAGATACAACAATTCGATTCATTTCTGTATTAGGTTATGTGCTTTGTTGTAGTGATCTGAGAAATGTTACATTATTCTGAACTCATTGTTTGAAAGTGTAAACTTCCACCTCTGAACAAAACATCTCCTTTTGTTTATACTTGCTATTAAAGAAGTTAATGTCAGTATTTCTGAAGGATGTCATCTAAAAGATCTGATTTCCTCATATACTTACGTTACTGGATATTGTCAATGCTCAGCTCCTGAACTTTTCTTGATTTGATTTCTGTGCCCAAATAAAAGATTTGGTTTCAAATTTATTGGTCCAATTTGGAGATAAAAAATGGGTGTGTAATACTCCTGCATGAAACAAACTCCTGGCTCTGTTGATGAGACAGATACAGTACAGATCTATAGCAGATAACTCTGGCACCATGGAAAAGCAGAGCAAGCTGCCAGCAGTGAGAAAGCTTCTATACAACCAACACCTTTGCTGAATCGGTTTTATTATAGAATATTTACTTTAATTGAAAGTATCAATTTATGAACCAAATGCAAATAAACTATGGCCTTTTAAAAGAAAATGGAGTTACTTTTCCTTTCAAAAGAAAAAAAGTTGCTTTCACAGTAAGAATTCTTACCACCAAAGTTGATTTACAAATTACATTCTGAAGTCTGAAGATACAGTTACAATTTACAAAAATTCAGTGTTTCATTTTGCAGTGCTTTTTCAAATTTATCTTCCATGGAAATTACTGGAAGATGATCTTGAGAGAAAACTGTAGTGTGATGCCCTAAAACTGTTTGGGTTGTTCCCTAACACTGACTTTGCTGACACATGTGGGGTTTCTGCTCTTCATAAAAGAAATTTCCCCTCATCTGTCACTGAAATTATAGTGTTTTCCATGAACTCTGTAATAGAAGCTTTGATTGGTGCTGTGTCACAGATGCGGGGGGGTTTATTTTCCCCACAGGCTGTTTACTTGGCTTGCATGTTCTCTATCCGCATATCCGAACCAGCAGGCCTCCCCTGCTTTGGTACTCTGTTGTGTGCACTGGTTCAGTTGACAGCACTTTATGTTCCACCCTGCCAGCTCTGAGTTAGTCACTACCCTCCAAAAGACCAAGGTTTTCACCAGTGTCTAGTTTACAACTGGAATTGTAGAAATGTTCATATTTGTAAATTACAGTAAGAATGCAGGTTACAGTGCAGGAAAATTGTAATTTTTCACAATGTGATATTTTTATCAGAGGGTTTTTTTCCTTGTCATTATGAAGGTTGGCATTTGTGTGGACCAATCTGCAGTGTCATTTTAAAACCTATCTTTCAGCTTAAAATTTTCATGGGTATACATCAAATCATGTATTTTGATGTATATGTCAGTGAAACTTGGGTGAAAACTATATACAGTCATTTTTGTATTTTTTTCTATGTTGTGAAGAATAAAATTGTAATTTTATAAGTCTGATTCACTAAGATTATTATAAGTTAAATGTATTTTTTGTATATTTAGGAATCTGGTATTACCTGGAGCTCTGAAAGACTAAGCATAGATTTTTTTATGCATGGTTGAAAGATATTTCAACTTGATAATGCAGTGAAATGGTTTGTATGCTAAAATACTAGTCTGTGTTTTTGCCTTGTGAAATTGATTCTGTGCTCTCTGCCTGGATTTGGCCAACTGATCAGTGATACTAATTGCTATAATCCAAATAAAATAATTCTGAACAAAATGTGTTGTATTGTTACTGTTTAAGGAACAAAAGCAGATACATTACAAATGTTAGGGCTGTGTTTTTATTCATTTGTATACTACGCATACCTTTAAATTTACAAGTTCTTGTAGCATATGTAACTCTGGAGCTCAGACAAAAGAAATAAGAAACTTCTTGCTGTTAATAATGCTCTGTTTTCCACATTCAAAAGAAGTACTCATAACAGCGCCTTAACTATGTCAACACTCACAACTTCCTGAAGGGTCCTCAATTGAGTGTGAGCTCTTTGTTCTCCGGCTGTTATCTGTACTCTGGGTGCTGATGGTTTCCTTCAAAAAACAAAACAGAGTATTATAAATGTAGTGGAATGCTTAACTAATCAACAGAATAATTCAGAGTTCATTTACTAAATATAATATGTCTGCTTCCACGGCAACGTTTTTAGCATTTTTAACACTTCCTGAAAGAGATTTAAAAACTGCGTCTAGATGTCATTAATGCTCATAAATAACAAGTTATAATCCTCTAATAGGAACTGAGTGGTAGCTGCAGTGTGAGTGCTATTATTCTAGGCATATGCTTGTCATAAGATTGCACAGCTACAGTGATTTTTTGTTGACTGAAGACAGGATGGAATGATGTTGTCATGCCCAGCATCAGCACATGTCCTACGCATGACGGCTGTGACTTAGCACTGCTGTGTAATTAAAAACTCGGAAATGCTGCACCGTGGAGAGGTGCTGAGCTCTGTTTGTGCCTAACAGTAACTATCACTGGCTATTTGCGTTCCCTCTCTGCATTTTGAAAACTCTGTGTGTGGAAACTATTTTAGTTCCCTAGGGCAACAGTAAAAAGTCTGAAAAGCATAAGGATTCTGTGCTTGTCAGCAAGTTAATGTCACAATAATGTGTAAGGCTTATCTCAAAGCATTGGCAATTCTTGACATAAGACTAGAGGAGGGATCTGCTGGGCTGCTGAATATAAAATAAAAAGGTGTGAATATCTGTGTGATTCAGTTTCATGTGATGTGAACTGAACATTTCTACAGTTGGGAGTGATTGATTCAAGCTACCCAACTGACTGGAACTTCCATTTAATATCAAATGGCTTTTAAATTCTGCTTCCTGCCTCCTAAATAAATGCTCTTCCACACTTGTCAGAAGACTTAAAATAGTAAAATAATTAATAAAGCTTCTTAGGTGGTTTCTGAAGGCTGTCTTTGAAGTAGTTGCAATTTCAAATGTGGATGAAAAATTTGTAGCTCCTTTGATACTGTTGATCACTAATTTCCAGAATAATACTTCCCTTTACAAATGTGAAAGATCCTAAAACCCTTATTATGGCCTCACAAGTTAGCTTGGGCATTAGTGTTATCACAGGTTTGTTTTTCTCTTTGATGTGCTGACATTGGTAATGTGCTAATATTAAGGAAAGAGAAGTTACTGTCAGTATTATATCTTAATTTTTCCAATGGTTTAAGTAGATGCATATTATTTCAATCTTCCTCTATGAAATCATAATTCACAATATTTAGAAATATTTCCATGTCTAATTATACTTGCACAAACTGTGCCACAGCTGCCTCTCTCTAGATTTAATTTATTCTGTGCAGTTTGTACATAGAAATTTTACATTACCTGGTACTAAATGAGGATGTTATTATTGGGAAGTTCTTTGGTGGAAGTTTTTGCAGAGGCCTATTGAACTGAATTGTGAACAGTGAATTACATTTTGTCCTATGTTTTTGGCTCCTGCTACAGATAGTCTGCTCAGTCTTTTATAAACTGTTACCACCTGTAAAACTACATGAAAAACTTTAGTACTGACATTTTCTGGTTTGAGTACCTGAAGTTGTAGAATCGTAGCTCCTGTGTAATTACATTTGGCCTCTTGGGTAAGACTCTGGATGAGTCTCACTCTAGAGAGATAATCCGAAGAATATATATAAAGGGATACAGGCATTTCGGGTATCTTCTTTTAGCATTGGTTTTAAGTTGATGGCAATGTAAAGATCTTTTCTTCATGTAGCAGGCCCACAAAAACCATCAGTTGTGGAGAGTACATAGGAAGTGGAGGACCCTCCAATCCACCTGACAATAGATGGCTTTTATGAAATCAGCTTGCTATTTAAAGGTTTCTTTGGATAAAATACATTCTCTTCACTTACTGGATAAGAAAAGATAGTAAGTGCTGGTCTTCTCTACGTAATGACCGTCAATAAAATGATGAGATGGAAGAGAAGAGGTACTGGAGGTTACAGAGCTCTACCACTGTGTTTCCCAAATAATATTTGGGCATTGACAAAACATGAAACTTTCTTCCTGTTCCCTTTGGAATCCAGTAGTTGTTGTTCTTTGGGGCGAGGGTGGTGGTATTTGGTTTCGGGAGGAATTTTTTGTTTGTTTATTAAGACAGTACAGCAGCACTTAATGGAGATGCTGCAATGTTTAGTCTAGTGTGCCGATGACATGAAGTTTGTTTTACTTTCGTCCAGGTGTTTATTACAAGACTCATAAGAACTGGATGCACTGACTTAGGTGCTTTGTTTTAGTCCTCAGCTCCTGTGTATAAACTACTGCTGGGAAAGTTGCTGGTTTGAGAGTGTCAAGAGAGTTTCCTTACCCAGCTTTTTGGTGCAATTTAGATTAGGTAAACAAAGCACTTTGTTAGCAGACTGGAACAGTGGAAAAAGCTGTCTTGCATCGGCAAGAAAATGGATGTGAAATTGAAAGTCAGACATTGCTGGATAGTTTACTTAGTAAAACTGGATACTGTTACTGTTACTTAACTAATTGCTTAGTAAACCAATCGAAAACCCTGTTACCTTGTTGGTAAAGCCCTTTAGCAGAAGCATACTGTGCCGTCTGAAAATTCAGAATTATTCTTCAAAAAAGGTATTGTCAAGTCAGACAACGTGTGGAAACCTGCTCTAGGCTGACAGGTGTGTTCAGGCAAGGGCGTAAGATGTAAGCATTCATGGGCTGCTGTGCTCCAGGTTCATGGTGGTGCATAACTGCAGATGAGGCCTAAGCATACTGGATTTTGAGTAAGTAAACTGCTGACAGGAAGATGTAGAACTCCTACAGAAAGATGTAAAATGCCTACTTGTTGTGCTCTGAGCTTCATGCAGTCCACTTGGTATAGACATTTCAGTCCTGTTATCCAAAGGTGAGCAGGTAAAAATCTGTACTACAGGTAACAAATGTGCTGCTGTGTTCACCTTCTGTGAGAACTGGAATCCTTGGCTGCTTTTTTCTTAATGTCATAAGTATGTGAAATCCCTGGAATGACCACATGAATTATGTGCATTATGGTGAATTTCATGATGCAGTCCTCCAGAAATTGCGAACATGCACATGCAGATCTGTACCCCAGCTTTGCTTGGACTAAACAGCATGGGCATGCAGGATATTTTATTTCTACGTTTGGGGTAAAATATGGATGCTGCTGTGAAAAAACATAAATGTGATTCAATGAGCACTTTATCTTGCTAGGCTTCTTGTGTATCCCTAAAAAACCCCAAAAGTCAGTAATGAGTCAGATTGTTTTGGGTTGGGCTTTCTGTTTATTTTTTAAGTCACTGTGGTTTTGTGTTTTCACTATTTTCTCACTTATGTTTCTATTCCTTTTGAATCATCAGATTATTGGGAGAGGGGTGGTGTGGAGCAAGAGAATTTGTAACAGCAAGTTGTTCAGTTTGAATATTTCATGGCTCCAGGCTGAATTGTGTGATTGTTTCTTGGTTTCAAAGGGCTGCTTTGGATATTCTAACGTTCTGGATTTAATGCTTCCATGAATTTTGTACTGCATGAAGACCATGAAGAGTGAAATGTGACACAGATGTTCTGAGGTCACTGTCTAGTTGGTATTCCCCATTTGAAGTAAATAATGGAAAGAAAGAATGCTAATGTTTGTCTACTGCACCTGTTGTAATAATAATAAAGTAAAAAATGTTTTTATACAAATCATGAGACTACATGTGAAACCAGAATTTATGTGAAGTTGTGTGTTGAAGTTTAGATCTGCCACACAAGCTCTCTGTTGACTGCCTCAAGGCTTCCTGAAGGTTCTTGAGGAAGCCTCATCATTTGACTGTTTTTGTGCAAGCAGTCTCTAAATCTTCCATGTGTTTGCTTCTATTTAGGTATTATTTTAAGGAGATGAATACTTTGTGAAAAAGAGGCATGGTTCAATTTTAATCCAGAATTTTATTAAGGTATGATTGAAGGTAGTGAATGGAATTTTGCCCACCAAGGTCATGATTTGTACATAACTGTGTTGGGAGTGAGATATAGAAGCTCCTCAATTTTACACTCATCCTTTAGAAAATGGCTGGGCTAAGTTGCGAAAGAAAAAGGCAACTCATGTCTATGTATAATGCACTAACAAAGAATGATTTCCTGAATGTTCTTGTTATAAATGCACAGCATTTTTAAGTGACTTTACAGCCACCCAGGATATGCAGTGTTTTGCTTTTGGCATTACTTTTTTGGGAGAGACAAACATTGTATCTTACTGCCATTTGTAATGAGGTTCCTGAATTAGAAACGAGCCAGGGCTTGAAGAAACTGCATGTTAGAAGGAGAGCTGTGGATAAGCTTTCTGTATGATGGTCAATATCCTTAATACTAAAATACCTGCTTGTTGCCTTTGTTCTACTACTGTTCTGTGTGATCCAGTAACATCATCAGCTACAAGTGGGCATTAAAGTTTTTTACTATCCAAGTGGAATCTTACATTTTTTTTATAGCCCTATATGTTTTCATTGTGTGAAATATCCATTTAGTTGATGCTACTCTTAGCTTCTAAGACACCTTTTAGCTTCTTAACATCCTTTTTTTCACATTTTATGGATTTTATGCAGAATCTCTTCTAAGTGCTCCTTTACTTCTTTAAACTCAACACCTCATATTTACCTATCTGTTTCTAAAGTTACAAACTTCTGGTTGAAGACTTGTTTTCCCCTGTATCAAGGACAAAAGTTTTTTCCCCTCTGGCTGATTTTTTTTTTAAACAGCCTGAAATTGATTAAGCATCATTTCTTATGACATTACAGAAAAGCAAAACTGTATGTCAAACAAAATGGCATAGTGAAAAGAAACACGAATGATACCGTAGAATTGAAACTACCATTTTCCTGGTACTTCTGTATATAAACTTTCTGGGGATATAGCTTTCTGTGACTGGAGTCCTGCCTAGGATTCAGGCTTCCAGAGGCTATCATGATGCAAAAGCTAAGACCTCATTTAGTCCCAGTGGTGAAACATAAAAATATTAAAATTACTTGGTCTGTTACCTGAGCAATGCTTTGTTGATATCCAGAACTAAATGTGACAAGAGGTGGATGTTGACTGGTTCATATACATGCCTTCATAGTAATTTTCTGTGAAACAGAATTAATTTTAGGGTCACCAATTAATTTTGTGGACCACCTTTCTCCTTTTTCTTAGTTTTAGTGTGAAAAAGTGAGATCTTTTACTGCTGACTTTGAGAGAAGAACTCCAAAATGTGATTTTGTGTACAAAAGAAAAAGAACTGTCCCAGTTTACAGCTCACTGATGAATTGTTTTATTGTCTTTATCCCTTGGGTTCAGGCACTGTGCAGCCAGGGTAACCAACCACACAATTCCTGAGTGTTGTTCTACTCAAATAGAACAAAAGTAGTGTACGGATAGTGACAGTGTTGTGCAATATCACAAGAAATGATAAATTCCATCTGAAGGGTAGTGGCATTTATATATAAAAATGTCCCCTCATGGAAAGCAAACTGTGAGTCCAATAGTGATCGGCTGCAGTATGTAGCATCTGTCAGGAAAGTGCCATGTAAGTGAGCCCCACTGTGTGCATTGTTTTGCTGAAAAGCTTTAACTGTGAATTCCTGGTAAGGAAAAGATGCTCTGCGGAAGAAGCTGCTGAAAATTCAGCGTATGGCTTTACAAACCACTGAAATGCACAAAGGCCTAAATTGTTTGTGGAGTTACTTGCACGTGTAAAGGACACGTGAAGGGCTTCTGTTGGGAAGGTTATCTGGTTTGGCTTTTTTTCCCCAGCTGTGTCCAGCGATATTACCTCTCTACAAACGTTGCTTATCTCTGTCCCTTGATAACCACAGCTTCAGCACTACTACTGCTGAGGACTACTCCTGAGCAGGGATTGTCAGTGTTTGAACAAACATCTAGACAATTACCAGTTTCAGCAGCTTAAGCCAAGCAGTTATCTGATATGACAGTTTGTTTTTAATAAAACACGATGCAGAACATCAAGCAATAATATTATTCTTAGTGCATATGATGCTTACCTTCAAAACACTGTAAATCATTAATTGGCTCACCCGCATCTGCAGAAAGAGTGGTTCACCTGAAAGAACATTGTGGAAGAGTCTGGAGATTGAAACTTGCTGGGAACTGCTGAGATGTCGTCATGCATCACTCCCAGGTTAGGGAATGTGCCATAAAACGCTGTCGGGTGAAGGTGAGGGCCGTAGCTTATGTGGCTAAGAAAACAAGGTAAACCTAGCGGTGTGTGCATTTTACCCTTGATTTCTGTGTTCAGCTAAGTCCAGTAACAGGTGCCGATGTTCTGAGAGGCTTTTCTAGGGCTTGATTTTCCTCTGTTCAGCAGCCCGGCCGGCGGTGCTGGATGCCGCCGCCCGTGCCACGCCGATCAGGAGGGGGCTGGTCCCGCTCGGGAGCCCCGAGGCAGCGCCCGGAGCCNCCCCTCCTCTGCTGCCTTTTGGGGTTTTCTCCCGGGGCTCGTCCCCTGCGCCTGCCCGGCGGTCATCCCCTCACCCGCGGCCCCGTCCCTCAGGGCATGTCCCGGTCCAACAGCGTCAGCCCCCCGGGCTTCGGCGGTCCCGCGCCCTGGGCAGGCACCGAGCAGCACCGCTCGGCCTGGGGCGAGGCGGAGGCCCGGGCCAATGGCTACTCCTACCCGCCGCCTCCCAACAGGTCCTCGGGCAAGAAGGCCTCCCGCATGTCGAGCAGGTGGAGGAGCGAGGAAGACTACGAGCCCCGGAACCGCGGGGAGAGCGGCTGCAGGATGATGAGCTTTAGGTCCAAATCCGCCTGGCAGGAGCACGGTGACGACAGCCGACGTCACCGGTCCCGCCACCCGCCCGGCAGTGATTCCCCCGCTGCCCCCAACAATGCCAGCCCCCGGCAGCTGGGGGAGCAGGGGGAGGTACGGCCCCGCTCTGTGGAGTTGGGGCTGGACGAGAAGCGCATCAAGGCCAAGATTGAGGAGCTGGAGGAAGAGGACGGGGACGAGGGGGACTCCGAGGCGGCCTTCTCCATGGGCAGTTGTTGCAGTAGCCTGCTGCAAATCTTCAGGTCCAAGAAGTTCCAGTCTGAGAAACTGGAACGTCTCTATCAGCGCTACTTCTTTCGGCTAAACCAGAGCAGCCTCACCATGCTTATGGCCGTGCTGGTGCTGGTCTGTGTGGTCATGCTGATCTTCCATGCCGCACACGGCCGCTATGAGGTATCCTATGTCGTGGTGCTCTCCCTGGCCATCGTGCTGATGGTGGTGCTGTGCATGGTGTGCAACCGCAACAACTTCCACCAGGACCACATGTGGTTGGCATGCTACTCTGTCATCCTGGTGATCCTGGCAGTGCAAGTGGTAGGGGTTCTGCTGGTGTGGCCCAGGAGCGCTTCGGAGGGCATCTGGTGGACCGTCTTCTTTATCTACAGCATCTACACGCTGCTGCCGGTGCGGATGAGAGCTGCGGTCATCAGCGGGGTGGTGCTCTCCGCCATCCACCTGGTCGTCTCCCTCAAGATCAACGCGGAGGATAAGTTCCTCCTGAAGCAGGTAGGCAAGCCTTGAGTGATTTGGATGTGTGCTCAGCATTGAAAGGCAAGGGAAGTGGGGTAGTCTGACTTCCATAGGCCTGCCTGATGCTGGAAGGCTGACAGGACTTTGAGCTGAACTCCTAGGTTACCTGCTAGGATGGGATGGTGTGCAATGTAATGGCTAGCCTGTAGTCTTGCTTTTTTTTCATAGCTGTGGTGTTCCCTCGTTGCTCCAAGTTAAGACTCTAAACAGACAAGAAGTGTGCCTTACTGGGTTCCCATGACGGCTCCAGCACTATCAGCCAGCCCTGCTAGTGCCCTTCAGTTGTATTTAATGTAAACAGCCCTGTGCTAAGCACACCTGTGGAACAGTATCCAAGCATGCTGCTGTTTTACTGAGAAATGTGTATAAAGTCTGGCTGTTTTTATCAGGTAGAGGTTATCCTTGTGTGCCACTCTGTGTTCAGTGTTGGCTTAGGAGAGCGTGCTCCACGGGAATGTGGGGTGGGCTTTTTTGGTTTAGCGGGAAGTTGTTTTGCTCTGAGATGTGCTGGAAATCTCTACGGTGAAAAAGCCCAAAGTTCCTGTACAGGAAAGATAAAAAGTACAAAAAAGAAGTATAAATGCAGGTTTTTATTTAGCTGTGATACCATGTTTAACTGAAGCTGTTCAGTTCATGGGAACAATAAGACTATTATCAAATGCATTACAGTGCAATTTTTAATTACCATATCTGTATAAACAACGGCTGTACAAGGCGCCACTCTTCAAGCAAAGCAAGCAGCCTTGGGACTCGTGCTTTAAGCTTACCACACATAAAACGTTGCAGCTCTGAGGCAGTTGTCATCCTTCTGATGTGCAGGACTTTGAGCAAGGATCAGCCTTTCACAGAGTCAGCCCTGATGCTTGTGTGTAACCAGGGACTGTTTATTAAAATCAGGTGTTTGGTAGTTTTATAGCCCTAACACATAATATGAAATAAAGCCTCGTGCCTGCTTTGAGTCTCAGTTCTGGGTTGTTTTGAGTTCTTCCTATTGCAGTGGCAAGAAAAGTTATAGGACTTAAATAAAACCTCACCAGGATGAGGCTGTCACTGTTCTGCTATACAAAATAGCCCATGAAATTATTCTTTTCTCCCCCCTGCCTGGTTAAGCCTACTTGGAGAGTTTCTGGCTTTGTTCTTAGTTTGCTACAGATATTTTTATAAACTGTACATGACATATTTTTCTTATGTTTGATATAAATGGCTTTTTGTGCATTTCCAGCAGAGCATACACTGTGAGTGGGACAGTTGGTGTTTTTCTGCTTGACTTGAAAAAGTTTGCTAATGGCCTCAGCTCTTCCCCACTGGGGATCTGATCTTGCAAAATCTCATGCGTGCTTTTTTGCTTTATAAACTGAGACTTCTCCTGTTGAAATCGGTGTGTTTGGAGACTGTATCCTTACATGTCAAGGCAAATCCCGTCATGATTGCGGCTAGATTTAGCAGTCTGTTATGAGCGGAGTTTGGAGGATACTAACAAATGAATAAAGTATGTTGGAAAATGTTGGTAACTGTATTTTAGTGGGAAGGAACCTAAATTACAAAGGCCAAATGATTGACTCCCTCAGTAGAAAATTTGGAACAATTACAGCTCCCTCCCTTTCCAAACAGCAGGTTGTTTGTAAGAGGTTGGCTTGTGTATGAATGTGCACTTGTCAAAGAAGCAGCATGGGCAATAGGTGATGCTCAAATCTGTGCATTGCACAGTTGCTTTCACTTTCACAGTAATGCTGGGGTTTTCCTAAGGTTTGGCAATTAATGTCCAGTTAATTAATAAATGTTCAGGAGTGTCCTAGGAGCACCTTTACTTTGTCTTCAAAGGCAGAGGGTCTCTCCACGTTGCCCGTTCATTTTTCCTACTGGCACAGTCTCTATCTTGCTGTGGTCTACACTGGCATAGCACAGGCTGAATTCAGTGGGGTTGTACAAGGCCAAGCATCAGATTCTTTACACGTTTGTGTATGAACACGAGCTGCTATCTCTGGCTGTCTGGTAGAAAAATCTGTTCTGCTGAGCACATTGCCTCACAGCTATTAACAGGCCTCCCTCACTGGGGCTGAATCTCGTTGCCGTGGAAATCCGTTGTGTTCAGCTCTGCCCCCCTAATGCACGCAAGCCCCATTTTCCACCTTCAAACTACCAGAGGCAAAGGCAGGTGAAGACCAGATAAGTCAAGAAGAGGGAGTTAAGATGTTTTCTGTGACTTCACGCTGGCAGTCACATCAGCCTGGGTTTTGTAGAGCGGGAGTGGATGTGAATGCGTTTGTGACTATGTGACCGGGTGGTATTTTACATCCAGCAGTGACAGAAGAAAGGCTGCTTAGGATGTGTGTCACCTTTCCTCTCTTCTCCGTGGCATTTTAAGCTATAATACTTAAGCAAGTTTTACTTTGTGGGAGCTTTTTGCTTTTAATCCTCTCCAAATTGTTTCCAAACCAGGAGAAATCATACACTCTTATGTTATGATCCCCTGACATTTAAAGCAGGGTGACTCTTGTGTTGACTCCTGAGCACTTTTATAAGGCTCTGGAGCCTGTTAAAAAACTCCTCTTTCTCAAGTGAGTGAAATTCTTGGTAGTAGGTTCATTCTGGGGGAAAGGCAGCTTCTTGTATTCCTTAGCTGAGGATGCATGAATTTATTGTCTGAATTGCCTTCTCCTATCATTGCTGTATTTTTCTGTCCCCAAACTTTCTGGTCCAAGGCTATTTTAGACTTCATGGAAGAGTTAATGCAGTGTGCTGTTTCTGAATCCATAAGGTAACAGGACTAAAAGCACTTGTCATTGTTTAGTCTTAACTGAGCTGGTTCTTAAAATAATTATTCTGGGGTCACTTCTCTTTGCTACCTGGAGGAGTGCGTCTGTCAAAAAGATGAGTATAGCTGGTACCTCTGTGAGTCTGATCAGCTGGAGGCAATGATCTTGGCTTCTTGAAGTAAGGTTTGATTGGAATAAAAAAGTGCTACTTATTGCATTATATTAAAAAGTTATCCAATGCTGAGGAAGGGGAGACAATTCCTGTATTTGAGAATTTACTTGTTTCCAAAGGCAGCATGCTGCTGGAAGCAGAACATAGTGAATAGGTGATGCTCCACCAACTATAATTCCTGACTGCTTAAAAGGGGGATTTTCATGTGTTCCTGTGATCAGTTAGCTCTAGAGGAACTGCTTTTGGATTTACTGGGGAGGGGGGTGACCATGTTTGTCTTCAGTTTGATGTCCTTGTGTCATTCTGGGACAGATTACAAATATGTTTCACTGCATGGAAGTGTGTTCTCTCTGCATGTATCTCTTTTCAGGCCAGACTTTTCCATGTGTTGGCTTTGATGCACTTTCAGGCTCTGAAAACACACTCAACTAAAATTCACGTAAACATTATTTTACATGTGAATGAGGCTTTCTAATGCTTAACTGAGAAAGAAGTGTACTATTTATCAGCAATCTGCCTTGAATTCAGAGCAGAGATAACAGTGAGATTTATTCTCTGTGGATCGGAGCGAACTGCCCAGCTGACCCACAGACTTGTACGGGCGCATGGGAAGAGGTTCAGCCCATGGCTTGCAGATGCTTAACTGAAGTCATGTGAGGAGACAGCTGCCCTCAGCACAGATAGTCTTGAGTAAGCACTGGCGTTTTTGTAAGACTATGGGCTAAGGGACAGGGAATTTCACAAGAGAGTTTACTGGACTCTGATTCAGACTTAAAAAGGGATGGGGATTGTGTGTGGGAGTGGGTGGGGGACCAGGGGTACGGGTAAGAATGCACATACAAACATCAAACAAGCCCATGGACCGAGGTTAGATTTAGTCCTGTTTTCCCATCCAAACCTGTTTTATTGTAACTTTT